ACCAGAATCGAGGTCTTATCCGCCGGGCTGCTCCATCTATTGGTGGGGAGCGGCACCTGCTGGAAACCGGGTCCAGCGTCCCCCGAATACAACATACAAGACGAAACATCCAAGTCATTAAAGCGTAGGCTGTGCCTATATCTTTGTCCTCCGGGCCCCCCTTATCCCATGGAGCTGCCAATCTTCCCAATCCCGAATTGGAGCACCCATTTCTCATTTAGGCAGCCTTATTCTGCAGCCCCCCATTGTACCTGTAGACTATCCATTGTTCCCAGCAGGCCTTCAGTCCCTGTGGGCTCTCAGTTCATCCTTATACTGCCAGGTCCCGAAGACCCATGGTTGGCCTGTGGTCCTATCTACGCCTTCTGCACTGCGTTGCCAGATCCCAAAGACCCATGATTAGCCTGTCCCCCATTGTACCTGTATACCATCCACTGTTCCCAGCAGGCCTTCAGTCCCTGAGGGCTCTCAGTTCATCGTGTTATTTTATGCTGCCAGATCCCAAAGACCCATGGTTGGCCTATAGTCCTATCCACGCCTTGTGGCAAGTGCTGTAACCCATGTATATTGCAAGATAGCTCATCTGTGCATCTCTGCACTAGTCTCCCTTAAGCCCCAAAAACCCTCAAACCCGCATACCCTGCCGAGGTTGTGTGAGCCAAAAAGCTGTACTGACTGTAACCCTCCCCAAGCTCAACGTCTGTGTCCCTCCGTATGGCCGTAGTGCCTCTGTCCAAGTTGTCACTCCGCCGTTGATGCCTTTATTGTTGTCTTCGATCCGCCAGTCCCACTTGAATCATGCTTCAGTCGCCAGAGCGAGTGCCAGGATAGGAGGTGGTGTACGGGGCGGGTGCAGCAGGCCCAGCGAGGCCGGGGGGGGAGGGGGGGGCGGGCGGGGCGACGGGGCGGGCGGCACTGAGGCAGGGAGCAGCACAAAGTTGGGTTGCAGGTACGGGACCCAAAAATCTGTGAAGGGTTTCCTTTGCCATTGGGGTTCCGTTGTCCTCCACGGTTTCCATTTGATGTCAAGTTCGCTATCCAATTCTGAGAACAGTTTGGCAGGGTCTTGCCAAGTCTGCATATACGAGTCTCGGATTATTTCCCTAGTAGGAGGGTCTTTTACCTCCGAGAGATCACGCTTCATCGCCTTCCATGCTTCCTGGGTTTTGGACCTAGTCAGGTCTTCCGCTGCTTGTTGCGCCTGCATCAGCCCAAACTGGTGGTCCTTTCTCTCAAATGAGCATCTGGCTCTCCAGGCCAGCACTAGAAGGTGCAGCCGCGTGTACGAAAAGAGGTTGGTTGCAAATGGTGGCCAGTTAGCCAGCAGGTGGCGATTCTTTCCAAGCAGAAGGAGGCCGATATCCCAGGGAATGTGGTGACCGGTAAGAGAGTGAAAGGCCACATCCCACCATTGCCATAGTTGGGTCACCATCGAGCACGCCAGGAGACAGTGTTCGAGGGTTGCCCTGGCAGGCGTGTGAGCACAATATGCGCGTATGGGGGAGAGCTTTCCCTGCTGTTCCAGGGTAGTCCTAGAAACCAACCAGTCTGGAGTGGGGAGGCAGCGGTGCAGGATCTGCCACTGCAACGCTCTGTGGTTTGTGGGCATGATCCTTGCATATGTGGACCAGTCGAAAGTTTGTGATAGTTTATGGTCCAGTGGTGAGTCCCGCACCCATCTGTTTGCTATTGTTCGGGTGACCGGCAGTGTTTGTCGCGATGTTCGGTAGCCTCCTTTTACTGTGTAGTTCCAAATGTTCATTGGTTTGGGCCCCGGCCACTCCCACTCCGCCAAGTCGAAAGGGAGCTTGGCCACATAAATAGTGGTTTCATATGCATAATATCCGTTTTCCCGGTCCCCCACCACCCTCACCTGCATCAGTCCCCCCCATGCGGCTGTGGTATCCAGGCCATCGTTTCTCAGCAGTTTGGTGAACCTCGCTCCAGGCGATTGGGGTTCATCATGATATGCTTCCAGTTCACAGGTGCCCTGCTTGTTGTCTTTTACCTTGAACACCAGCAGGTGGGTTGGGGAGTCCGAATATCGCACCACCCAATCGTCCCGCCGGATTGTCGGTCCCTCCCTCAAGGTGAGGTGCCAAGCAATGGGGAGGGCTTCTTTTAGCAGGTCAGCCTTCTCTTCCACATTCTTGACATGTTTGAGTTTACGTTGTAGCTGGGTTGGGGTTGCCCACTCCCCTATCGCCAGGTCCCACAGGTCTCCAATCGTGAAGATCCCCTTCTTAACCCAGGTGAGCCAGGGGGAGTTGGTCGCCAGGGAGAAAGGTCGGCCCGATTCTTGCAGGATGTGTGGGTTACCGAAGAGAGGTTGCCTCCATATGTCGTGCCACCTGTTCGGAGGATGTTTTCGATGGGGGCCCCTTCGTCTCCAGAGTTTAATCATAAAGGGCCAGAGCGGATCTGCCTTTATGTCCTGCTTTGTTGCCTGTGCAGGGTTAGGCTGGTGTGTGGGCTGCGTTTGTTTGGGGGGCGATGGGACAGTCCAGTAATTCTTTGTCAGCCATCGAAGCGGGTGGACCTTCCCCGGTACATCGGTTTGAGGGGCAAGGTTGGCCAGTTGCAGGCTGGCAAGCGGCACCCAGGGGATATCATTTCCTATAAGCAGACGGGCGAGGACTTTGAAGAAGAGCGTGTCAGCCTGTCTTTCCGGATCGAGGATACCGAGCCCCCCTTTAGATCTGGGTTGTGTGAGGACGTCCCAGTTCACCCTGTTGACACAGCCCTGAGCCTTTGCGATGTTTTTCCAAAGGTATGTCGTAAGAGCCTTCTTCAGTCTGGTGTGCTGCTTCTTGGTCAGCGGCCAGATTGCCAGTTTATACCAGATGGCCGCAAGGATGACACTATTAATTGCTAGAGCACATCCCACCAGTGATGTGTGCAGGCCCTTCCAGTTGGCCAGGCGGTCCACGACCATATTGACCAACCTGTCCCCATGGTTTGGGGGCGGGGCCTCCGCAGTCAGTCGCACCCCAAGTATCCTGATGGCGTCCTCTTTGCGGGCCCATGCTACACTCGGCTGAGGCAGGGGCGGTTGCCCTTGAGGGTGGAGCCACCATCCCTCAGTTTTGGAGCCCCAGTTGACCTTCATGTCTGCTGCGAGTGAGAATAGGTGGATAACATGGGTGATGGAGTGAACGCTGTCCGAGTCGGCGTGTATTAGCACGGTTAAATCATCCGCAACGAGCGATGTGACTGGTATGAGATGTTGTGGAATGTCCGGGATAGGCACTCTGCTGATGTCGGGGTGAACTCTCATCATCGATGCGAGGGCCTCCATGACAACCACAAACAACAGCGGCGCAATTGGGTCTCCTTGGCGCACCGATCGTTGGAGGCGAATCGGCGGCGAGAGGTGGCCATTCATCATTATGTTAGTAGTGGCTGACCTGTGCAGAAGCTGCACCCATTGGCAGAAGCCCGGTCCAAAGTTCACTTTAAGCAGACACATATCGAGAAAGTCCCAGTGCACATGGTCATATGTTTTTTCGAAGTCGATGAAAAGGACCGCCGCTTGGACTTTTCGTTGTCGGGCATATTTGACGGTCTCATTGACCAGTAGGATGTTATCCTGTATATTCCTATTAGGCATAAACCTTGTCTGGTCCGGGTGGATCATCACATTCATGAACGACAACCTGTTAGTCAGGACTTTAGCCACCATCTTGTAGGGGACCGGGAGAAGGGTGATGGGTCTATAGTTTCTTATATTCTCCTTATCTCCCTTCTTACATAACAGAGTAGTCACGCCCTGATCAATCATCCCTCCAAAGGAACCTTCTTTTTGCACCACCTCTATATATTCCATGAGGTCGTCCTTAAACAGGTCCCAGAATCGTACCCAAAACTCCTTTGGGAAGGAATCGATCCCTGGAGTCTTTTCGCCGTCCATGTCTTGCAGGGCGTCCCAGACCTCCTGTGAGGATATGGGCTCGTCCAAGGTGGCTCTTTGTTGCTGTGTTAAGGACGGTTGGACTGCCTGTAAAAGCGATTGCCTAGCTTGAAGTACTTGGTCCGGGTGTTTAGAGGGCGTTTCAAATGTGAATAAGTTGGTATAATATTTGGCCGCATAGTCCGTGATTGCATATGCATTGGTTGCTGGCTCGGCGTTGTCGTCCAGCGGGTGGTTAAGTCTGGGAACCGTGGCTGCTCTAGATCTCGCTCTAGCTTTTGCAAAGAAGGTTTTCGCCATTATCCCATCTGTATGTTGTTTTTTTTATTTTAGCCTGCACTCTCCATGCTTGTGCCTGCCGTTCGACATACTCCTGGAGGTGGTCACGAGCCTCTTGCAACTTGTCATACGAGGGGCGGTGCAGCGGTTCGTTCATCAGTGTGTCATCCCATTCTTCCAGCTTTTTCATGAGGCTTTCGAGGTAAGCTTTACGGTCTCTCGCATGCTGGATGGAGAATTTTTTCGCCCTTTCCCTTAGCTGCGCCACTCCGTCATTGAACCAGTTCACTCTTTCCCAAGAAATAGGTTTCTGGGTCTGCCAATATTCCCAAAAATCAT